TTAATGTGAAACTTGTGCTTTCTTTTTCTGCAGAGATGCTCCATTCTGGGTCCATCTTGGGATAAACAGTGTGTGGTGGGGCAGCAGGGCAGGGTACAGGGGCTCAGGAGGGCACACTACATGAGGGGGAAGCAGGGTACATTACACAAGAGCAGGGAACATTATGAGGAGGCAGGGCACATTATGGGGGGGGAGCAAGGCGCATTATGTGGGAGCAGGGCACATTACATTAGGGCAAGGCACATTACGTGGAGACAGGGCACATTACGGGGGGGCCAAGGCACATTATGTGGGAGCAGGGCACATTACATTAGGGCAAGGCACATTATGTGAGAACAGGGCACATTACAGGGGGGCAAGGCACATTATGTGGGAGCAGGGCACATTACATTAGGGCAAGGCACATTATGTGGGAACAGGGCACATTACATTAGGGCAAGGCACATTATGTGGGAGCAGAGCACATTACATTAGGGCACGGCATTAGGGCAACATTATGTGGGAACAGTGCACATTACATTAGGGTAAGGCACATTACGTGGAGACAGGGCACATTACATTAGGGCAAGGCACATTATGTGGGAACAGGGCACATTACATTAGGGTAAGGCACATTATGTGGGAGCAGGGCACATTACATTAGGGCAAGGCACATTATGTAGGAGCAGGGCACATTACATTAGGGCAAGGCACATTATGTGGGAGCAGGGCACATTACATTAGGGCAAGGCACATTATGTGGGAGCAGAGCACATTACATTAGGGCAAGGCACATTATGTAGGAGCAGGGCACATTACATTAGGGCAAGGCACATTATGTAGGAGCAGGGCACATTACATTAGGGGGCAAGGCACATTATGTGGGAGCAGGGCACATTACATTAGGGCAAGGCACATTATGTAGGAGCAGGGCACATTACATGGAGGCAGGGAACATTACATTAGGGCAAGGCACATCATGTGGGAACAGGGCACATTACAGGGGGGCAAGGCACATTATGTGGGAGCAGGGCACATTACATTAGGGTAAGGCACATTACGTGGAGGCAGGGCACATTCCGGGGGTGGGGGGGGCAAGGCACATTATGTGGGAGCAGGGCACATTACATTAGGGCAAGGTACACTATGTGGGAACAGGGCACATTACAGGGGGGCAAGGCACATTATGTGGGAGCAGGGCACATTACATTAGGGCAAGGCACATTATGTGGGAGCAGGGCACATTACATGGTGGCAGGGCACATTCTGTGGAAACAGGGCACATTACACAAGGGCAGGGAACATTATGTGGAGGCAAGGAACGTTACATGAGGGCAAGGCACATTATGTCGGAGCAGGGCGCATTGCATGGAGGCAGGGCACATTATGTGGGAGCAGGGCACATTATGTGGGAGCAGGGAATATTATGTGGGAGCAGAGCACATTACATGGGACAGGACTCATTACATGGGACAGACCACAGGGCACATAGCATGGGAAAGGGCATACTACATGGGGCAAAGCATAGGACACACTGAATGGGACAGAACACAGGGCACATGACATGGGACAGGGCACATGACATGGGACAGGGCACAGAGCATATTACATGGGACAGATCGCATTACATGGGACAGAGCAACTGCCTCACTTATCACGCACAGAGAAGTAAGTTGCTGTCGACCTGCTGATTTTTTACACCATATCTGGAAAATAAATCCTGACAGTCCCACACAATAAAATCCATATTGCATGTCTTGAAGAATCAAATAGCTAATAGGTGACTCCACTTCCCAGGAGGTGCAGCACAGTCTGAAGTGTTTCCATTTGATTGAGTTTGCCTATTGGTGATTGATGAAATTTGAAATAACCTGAGACTGGGTAAGATCAATATCGTTGAAGAAAACAATAAAATTGTGTGAAGCAATTAGCTTCTGTGTGCATGGAAGAGTTCTATGTCCTTCAAGCAATCTTACAGCAGAAATCAGTATTTGAATTTATTGCAAATAGTGTCACGGTTTAGCCTGCAGTTTCTTGCCTGTGAAATTCTTACCTTCTTGCTGCAGTGCTTCATATAGACCCGTGATTTTATTTACATGTGCTGCTCACCTGTGTTAACCTATGGCCCTTGCCTGCTCTACTGTGGATTTATATTCCTTTCCCCTCTATCACTACCTGGCCTGCCTCCCAGTTTGCTTCCCTGTATAAGACATGCTTAGAGCAGCGTGCATTGCTGGATCATCTTCCCAGTTTCTCTGAGCTCCTGCTTTGCTTTGTATTACTTGTAGTCTGTATTTGACTTCCTATGTACCAACCCCGGCTTTGTCTACTGTTTTTTGCTTGCCTGCTGCCTGCCCTGACCTCGGCTCATTTCCTGGATCCTCTTCTGTCTCCTGCCATCTGTACTTTACATACACAAGTGGTCTCCACATCGTCAGCTGGGTATACCTGGGGGCTGCGACCTGGTTTTAGCTTTCTGCAAGTCCATCCCCACCATAAGGGGCCTTGGAAGCAGGCTGGGGCTCAGACTCTGCACCTTGGTGAAAACGGACAGTATTTTAAGTACACATTTCAAGTATTTGTTTTTATCATTTTTTACCTGAGAGTAATTTTTAAAAATATTATGTGTTATTAGCTGCTCAGCTTACCAACTGCTCGGATAACCACAATTAGCTTTTATAGAGTCTGTTTCTGTTCAGATCGAGAAGATGAGCAAGGCACATTCACTGTGCATCGATAATAGGCAGAACACGAGAGAGGAAAACTCTATTTGTAAACTGAGCTGCTGTCTGTGCATTCCTGCCTTAGTGACATCCAAATTCCAAATTTCTTGTATGAGTGTCACAAGGACAGAACACTGAGGGGACATTTTCACAATGTGGTTGAATACAAAATAAGAACCTGTCAGAAATGTTAATTCTTCCCCACTCTATCCAAAGCTTAAAAAAAAAATTGGCTGGAGGTAGTCTTTAACGTGCATGCAACTTTGGTATTTGAAATTGTTATGCATACTCGGGAGGTGGGAGACAGTATATGTAATCAGCATTATAGAGTTTCCAGGCCAGAAACTGACAGACCTCGGAGGGCCATTCAGCTTTTGAGATTCGGAGTCAGGCTAGGTAAGTAAAGCTAACAGGGGGACAAATATCCATAATTCACAATGATGGCTCCTGGCTGCCATCTTGAGACTGTCTTTACTGTCTAGTAGTAGTAAATGACGGAATTTGGAACCATCATGCAGGAAAAGAGTATTACTAGACCAAGACTAACATGTGGCTGTAATGATAGATATTTTTTAGAAAATACTAGTTTTCTGGCTCTTTGTTGTGAGTATTGGAACTGACATGAAACAAGTTCTGCCAAAAAATTTCCTTTAAAACAAGGTTCCCTGAATTCTTAGATAAGCCAAAATGTAGATGACATCTCCAGCACTCAGAGACCTAGACCCGGAACAGGTAGATAAATCGACCTCCGTAAACTACGTCCTCCAAGGGATCAAAGGTTGTGCAGCCCTTAGGTAAGGATGGGGAAGCCTGAACAACACTGCAGATAACAAAAGAGAGCACACCAACCTTTCGCATTACCTCAGCAATACAAAGATTTTATTAAAATGTGTACTCACAAACGTAATATAAAAAGCATATAGTATTCAAGAGTAGATCACAGAAGATCAAGTAGCATGAGAATCTCACAGACAGGGAGACTCTCGTGAAAGGCTGACGTGTTTTGAAGGGAGAGCTCTGAGGAAGAAGAGATCTCCCTTTGAAATGAGTCAGCCTTTCACAAGAGTCTCCCTGCCTGTGAGATTTGCACGCTGCTTGATCTCCTGTTATCTACTCTTGGATACTATACGCTTTTTATATTGCTAAGTTTGTGAGTATACATTTTATTTTAATAAAATCTTTGTAATCCGCAAGGTAGGTGTGCTTTCATTTCTTCTTATAAGCCAACATGTATCTGGTTCTCTTCAATGTCCAGTGATATACCTCACCCATTATCCTGTCCATGAAATGCAATGATAATTGTAGAATTATACAACCATTAGAATTCCTTGCCACTTGTGTTTTCCACATGTTCACTTATCTGCTGGAAGCTCTGCAACACATATAAGAAAAGAGGTCACACATTACTCTGAGCCATAATGCAGTAAATTAGGCCAATTGTTACCTGCACACAGCTGCTGGTACTCAATAATGGGGATTTGGCATGGAAACAGAGAAACACATCTTTATATATGGAAAACTAATGTTTTTCAGTTTCTCAACAATCTAGCTAAATCACTATCCATTCTTTTGTTTTTTTAAATTTTAATGGTACTAAACCTAGACCTCTGACTGCGAGCCCCACATTCGCTCATCAGTTGTGGCTTGAGAGCTGCTGGTTTTGGATCCCACTTTAATTCCTGCACAGCCAGGCAACTCACATTTTCCAGACACAAGAACCAGTCCATGGGCTTGATTTTTTTTTTATTTATTTATTAGGGAATTTAAGTAGGATAGGGTAAAGGAGGTTATGGGATTACCATCTTGACAGAAGAATAACTAATGAGGACAACTTTCTTCTCTAGCCACGCCTTCCAGAGGATTTACCCCCCCTTTCAGACCAGGCCATTTTCTGCGATGCGGTGCTGCGTTACTTTAACTGACAATTGTGTGGTCATGCAACCCTGCACCCAAATGAAATTTATGTCCTTTTTTTCCCCAAAAATATAGAGCTTTCTTTCAGTGGTATTTGATCACCTATGCGTTTTTTTTTTGCGCTATAAACAAAAAAAGACCGACAATTTTGAGAAAAAAATATTTTTTACTTTTTGCTATTTAACATGTCCAGTAAAAAAATTTGAACAGTCACATTTCGTTATTAATTTAGGCCAAAATGTATTCTGCTACATGTCCTTGCTAAAAAAAAAAAAAAAATCCCAATACGTGTAAATTAATTGGTTTACGTGAAAGTCATAGTGTTTACAAATGGCGGTGTATATACTAGATTTTTTTTCTTTCTTTTTATACTAATGGCGGTGATCAGAGACTTAGTGGGGTTGCGGCAGACATTCTGACACTGGGGGGAACTGACTTGGTGTCACTGACATCTTCAGTGATACCAATACAGTGATCAGTGCTAATAAAAAGCACTGATACTGTACTAATGGCACTGGGCAGGAAGGGGTTAACATGGGGGCGATCAAAGGGTTAACGGTGTGCTGTTTTACACTGTAAGCACACTGCTTTGTTTGGCTCTGCTATGCAGAACCATACAAAGCAGTGTGCAGGAGCTGACAGGGGAGATATCTGTGTTGTTTTATACACAGGTCTCATACCTGTTGGAGATACTCGGCGATCACTGGATTCTGTTGAGAAATCACTGGGCGGGATTTGATGATTGACAACCGAGGCCGCAAATCGCGCATGCCCCCTACCCGGAACTGCAAAATCACATATATATATATATATATATATATGTATATATGTGGTGTGTGTGTGTGTGTGTGTGTGTGTGTGTGTGTGTGTGTGTGTGATTTTGTGCACCCGTGCCACCCTGTAGCAGTATTTCTGCTATAGGGCGGCGCATAATCTGCTAGACTACTACAAAAATGCGAGATATTTGACTGTGTTCCAGCCGGAACCATGACAGTCTTTAGCAAAGCGAGAGCTTGCAGGAGCTCTTAGCCCCTTAAGTGAACAAAATGCCAATCCACCTGGCCACGGTATCTGATCTAGGGCAAGGGATTGGGTAAGCTATGAAATGTTCCCTGGAGACTTGCCAAGAACTTGCATCCAGCAGACTTCTCTCTTATAGGCCCTGGGGGTGTAGAGGTACTCACATTGTCCTTGTCCTGCAGCTGTGGATAGAACTGCTTTCAGGCCTTCCGCTGTGCTGGAGGCAGAACCCCCCCCCTTCTCCAGGGCCCCTCTCCCAGGTTACACAGCAACACCCCTCAGCACTGCATCTTCCACCCGACCCCCTGCTGGCCAGGCTCTGTACTATTTATGGGCTGGTCTACCACACAGACCTGCTGCCTGGGATTGGTCAGACTCTCATAAATATGCAGATCAGTCCCTCCTCATCTCTGCATACTTACTTCTAGAAGTTTCTCCAAGCTTCTAGAGCAGGAGGCGGTACCAGAGGTCTGACCTGTAGAGCCCTCCAGCCTTAACCTGAATAACCCTCCATCTAAACCCAGGCTTCTAGCAAGCCTCTAACTACTCTTCACAACTATGTACACTAGAGAGTGCTACACTGACATGAGGTAATCCCACTCTTCCTGTTTAAGTTTTCTTTTGGAAGAAGGAGATATAAGGACCCATGCTGGCTGGGAAGACTTAGTAATGTGTGGGAAAGTGTTAAGTTTCTGTCAACTTGCAAAAAAAATGTCAAAAGTTTTATCCCTTCATGCTCTACTAAAATGCTTTTTTGTTTTTGTCCAGGTTGGAGAGATTTCTCATCACTTCCTGTTGTGACAAGAAGTGAAGGCAATGTTCCCAACAGGAACACAGCTGGGAAGAAAAATCTGACAAGATTAAAGGAACAGAAGCGGTGCCTTTCAAGTGCAGCATGTTAAAAACCATTTATTAAAATGAGTGGTAGATAACTCAGACTTATGATGGGAGAGTGCTTTGATCAGGATCGTGCAGCCCCATCCAGTGGTGTAGGGTTGAATAGCATGGCTACACTGGTGGCTCCCAGTGCTTCCTGTGGATTCGGGTACACCAGTAGGTTGTGCCGACGTAATCCTGGTAGCGGGAGGTGGGTGCGTTTGGAGCATGCCTGCTCCCTCTTCAGGCCATAGCAGGGGCCATCTTGGAGTAGGTACTTATAGCCAGTCAGCAGGAGGGGAGGGGTGGAAACCTTGCACCGCACTCCTAACGAGGTCATGGTGATATATGCATGCATTCAGACAGCCACTTCTCAACTACTCAACCTAATGTCCTTGTTTAACCTAACACTCTGCTACTGAGTGCCTCTATGATAAAATTGCATCCCTGTCCTGCCCAGACCTGGCCACATCTGCCTACAACAACTATCTATCATCCTCCCTGGACACACTTGCTCCTCTCTCTACACGCAGAACCAGGCCTCGCCTGTCACAACCCTGGCAAACAGATGACGCCAGAAATCTCAAGAAACGAAGCTGTGCTCTTGAGCGAGCATGGTGTAAAACTAAATCCCTGCAAGACTTTACCCTCTACAAATCCATCCTCAAATACAACTCCTGCTCCACGCTGCTAAACAAACCTACTACAACCCTCTCATTCAACCCTCATCAACTCCTTTCTACCCTTAATTCCTTAATCCATCCCCTACTGCCTCCACCCACCAACTTACTGACTGCACAGGAGATTGCCAGTCATTTCAAGAACAAGATTTCAAGAACAGTGTCAAGCTTCCACCTCCAACCAACATACCAGGCCCAACACCACACTCAACACTCTCCTCCTTTGACCCTGCTACCACCGAGGAAGTTGCTGAACTCCTTTCCAAGGCTCACTTCACCACCTGTCCCCAACGATTATTACAGCCTATTTCCTGCTCTATCCTAAACTCTCTAACCCACATCTTCAACCTCTCACTCTCCATGGGCACCTTTCCCTCCCCACTCAAACATGCACTGGTTACCCCCATACGTAAAAACCCTTGCTGGACCCCACCTGTTTGAATAACTTAAGACCCATCTCCCTGCTCCCGTTTGCCTCCAAGCTTCTCGAGGGCCTTGTTCACAACCGTATGAACTGCTACCTCACCGACAACAACCTTCTTGATCCCCTACAGTCTGACTTCCACCCACAACATTCCACTGAAACTGCCCTACTAAAACTCATTAACGACCTACTAACTGCTAAAACCAATGGCCATTACTCCATGTTCATACTCCTAGATCTTTCCGCTGCCTTTAACACTGTCAACCACCCGCTCCTCCTCAGTAAAGTCCACTCCATTGGCCTCCGTGACTCTGCTCTGTCCTGGTTCTCCTCTTACCTTTCTCAATGCACTTTCAGTGTCACATACAACTCCTCCTCCTCCGCTTCTCTCCCTCTTTCCGTTGGGGTACCCCAAGAGTCTGTCCTTGGGTCCCTCCTTTTCTCTCTCTACACCTCCTCCCTGGGCCAATTGATAACCTTCCATGGCTTCCAATACCACCTCTATGCTGATGACACCCAGATCTATCTCTCCACTCCTCAGCTCCCCCCCTCAATCTCTTCATGTATCACAAATCTACTAAGCAACATATCCACATGGATGTTGTCAGGGCTCCCAGGTGTGACCAGAGATGTGTGACTGACGCAGGGAAACGCAGACCTCAGATATGTTATAAACAATATAATTTATTAACACTAACAATACAAACATAAACGCAGTGCAATACTAAAACATAATACAGTGCAAACAAACCAAACCACCCACAGATAACAGTACATACAAGCAAGCGTCGTCAGGCAGGCCGGGTCAATATCGATAGGGCAGGTAGGTACAGGGGGAGCAAGCGGAGATTGGTCAGGGTCACAAGCCAGGGATCAGAACAGGTAGCAAGCAGCGTGGTACAGAGGGTCAGACAGAGGGATGGTCAGGAGCGAGCCGGGATCAGAGCAGGAGAAGTCAGCAGCGGTTCAGAAACAGGATGCAGGACAGAAACAGGATGCAGGACAGAAACAGGATGCAGGGCCCAGGACAAACACACACCAAGGCAGAGTCTGTGGGTCTGGCCATCCCTTAAATACCCCCATAATCAGTTACAGGTGTTAGCTGGCTGCAAAGTTGAGTCTCTGATTGCTGGGAACACCCGCTGGCCAGCCCTGGTACTGCAGATCAAAAGGCAGGTGAGTCCCACCATAGCTGGCCAGTCCATTCCTGACAGTACCCCCCCCCTCAAGGAGCGGCCTCAGGACGCTCCAAACAGTCCTAGCTGGGAAAAATGTTCCACCGCCCGGGTCTGGTAACTGGCGGGATATCAAAGACTGGCACACCGGGCAGGACTCCGGGCAGAGGCACATCGGGCTGGACTCCGGGCAGAGGCACATCGGGCTGGACTCCGGGCAGAGGCACATCGGGCTGGACTCCGGGCAGAGGCACATCGGGCTGGACTCCGGGCAGAGGCACATCGGGCAGAGGCACACCGGGCAGGACTCCGGGCAGAGGCACATCGGGCAGAGGCACACCGGGCAGAGGCACACCGGGCAGAACTCCGGGCAGAGGCACATCGGGCAGAGGCACATCGGGCCGGACTCCGGGCAGAGGCACATCGGGCAGGACTCCGGGCAGAGGCACATCGGGCAGGACCCTGGGCAGAGGCACATCGGGCAGGACCCCGGGCAGAGGCACATCGGGCAGACCCCGGGCAGAGGCACATCGGGCAGGACCCCGGGCAGAGGCACATCGGGCTACCAGGCGAAGCAGCAGGCAGTGGGCCACCGGGCGGGCGACAGGCAGCGGGCCTCCGGGCGGGGCGACAGGCACCGGGCCCCCGGGCGGGGCGACAGGCACCGGGCCCCCGGGCGGGGCGACAGGCATCGTGCCCCCGGGCGGGGCGACAGGCCCCGGGCCCCTGGGCGGGGCGACAGGCACCGGGCCCCCAGGCGGAGCGGCGGGCGCCGGACCCCCAGGCGGAACTACAGGTCTCGGGCCCTCAGGCGGAGCGGCGGGCGCCGGACCCCCAGGCGGGGCGACAGGCCTCGGGCCCCCAGGCGGAGCGGCGGGCGCCGGACCCCCAGGCGGAGCGGCGGGCGCCGGACCCCCAGGCGGAACTACAGGTCTCGGGCCCTCAGGCGGAGCGGCGGGTGCCGGACCCCCAGAAAGAGCGACAGGTCTCGGGCCCTCAGGCGAAGCGACAGGCATCGGACCCTCAGGCGGGGAGCGGGCATCGGACCCCCAGGCATCGGACCCCCAGGCGGGGCGACGGGCATCGGACCCCCAGGCGGGGCGACGGGCATCGGACCCCAGGCGGGGCGACGGGCATCGGACCCCCAGGCGGGGCGACGGGCATCGGACCCCCAGGCGGGGCGACGGGCCTCGGACCCCCAGGCGGGGCGGACGGGCCTCGGACCCCCAGAAGGAGCGACAGGTCTCGGGCCCTCAGGCGGAGCGGCGGGCGCCGGACCCCCAGAAGGAGCGACAGGTCTCGGGCCCTCAGGCGGAGCGACAGGCATCGGACCCCCAGGCAGGGCGACAGGCATCGGACCCCCAGGCAGGGCGACAGGCATCGGACCCCCAGGCAGGGCGACAGGCATCGGACCCCCAGGCAGGGCGACAGGCATCGGACCCCCAGGCGGAGCGGCGGGCGCCGGACCCCCATGCGGAGCGGCGGGCGCCGGACCCCCAGGCGGAGCTACAGGTCTCGGGCCCTCAGGCGGAAGAGAGGCATCCGGCTGAGTAGAGGCTTCAGGCTGAGTCACGGAAGGCAGGTTCACCGGTTTGGATACTGGCAGGATGGTATTGGTTGGAAAGAATTTTCGCTTTTTTCTGGTTTTAACTACTGGAGCACTGCAAGTAAACGCAGGTCTGCAAACGAATGGAGCAGCTGGAGACAGAGAAAAACTGGAGGATGGAACAGGAGAGGGAGCAGTTGCTACAGAGGGCTTTTTTACAGGGTTAAAGGCAGGATAGGTGCAGCGAGTGGGAACAGGGTACTGACATGCGGTAGATAGCCAAGTATACTGGGCTGTAACTGGAGGAGCTGGTGGGAATACAGGAGTAGAGTTAGAAGCAGGACTGGGTTTTTGTAAGCTGACTGAGGCTGGGTGCAACAAGTCTGTCCATGTCTGCAGTAGGGGTTGAACAAAGCTGAGCTTACACAAAGCCTGTCTGGTCAATGACTGCACTGCGTTTATACAATCTCTTAGTGTCTGTGGTGAACATGTGGAATAACGCTCCAGAAAGTAACCCACATCATCCTCTAATAACCACACCAGGGACTCAACCTGGTCTGCACTAAATGGTGGCAAAAATTCATCCCTGCCTTCGGGGGAACCAGATGAAACCAACTCAACACAAACCTGAATCAATGGCTGCACCATAGAGAAATCTGTGCCCTGATCTACTAGAACATGAGCGAGCCGTATACATTCTAGCAGTTCATCCCGGGGATACTCCTTCAGAGTCTGATAAGCATACTCTCTGTCATCAAGCACTAGCAGAGATAAATACTCAACCTCATCCAGATCCATCCTTCCCATCAACAAGCCAAGATGGCTTCCCTGTGCAGCCACTTCTGGTCAGGATTGGCCTTGGTGTAATGTCAGGGCTCCCAGGTGTGACCAGAGATGTGTGACTGACGCAGGGAAACGCAGACCTCAGATATGTTATAAACAATATAATTTATTAACACTAACAATACAAACATAAACGCAGTGCAATACTAAAACATAATACAGTGCAAACAAACCAAACCAAACCACCCACAGATAACAGTACATACAAGCAAGCGTCGTCAGGCAGGCCGGGTCAATATCGATAGGGCAGGTAGGTACAGGGGGAGCAAGCGGAGATTGGTCAGGGTCACAAGCCAGGGATCAGAACAGGTAGCAAGCAGCGTGGTACAGAGGGTCAGACAGAGGGATGGTCAGGAGCGAGCCGGGATCAGAGCAGGAGAAGTCAGCAGCGGTTCAGAAACAGGATGCAGGGCCCAGGACAAACACACACCAAGGCAGAGTCTGTGGGTCTGGCCATCCCTTAAATACCCCAGCATAATCAGTTACAGGTGTTAGCTGGCTGCAAAGTTGAGTCTCTGATTGCTGGGAACACCCGCTGGCCAGCCCTGGTACTGCAGATCAAAAGGCAGGTGAGTCCCACCATAGCTGGCCAGTCCATTCCTGACAGATGTCACACGACTACCTTAAACTTAATCTTTCCAAAACTAAGCTTGTAATATTTCCTCCTCCCTGATCCTCCACTCATGACTTTACTATTAAGATCAACAGCACAACCATCACTCCTTCCCCTTGTGCGAGGGTGCTAGGTGTAATCCTAGACTCTGACCTCAACTTTGGGCCCCACAACCAGTCACTGACTAAATCCTGCTGCCTCAACCTCCAGAACATTTCCAAAATCTTCCCCTTTCTGACCAATGACACCACAAAACAACTTATCCATGCCTTGGTTATATTTTGCCTTGATTGCTGAAACTCCCTCCTCACTGGTCTTCCATTACACAGGTTATCCCCCCTTCAGTCTATTATAAATGCTGGTGCTAGACTCATACACCTTACCAACCGATCAGTGACTGCTGCCCCGCTCTGCCAAACCCTTCACTGGCTTCCACTAACCCAACGTATAAATTTCAAAATACTAACCACAGCATACAAAGCTATCCACAACACTGCCCCTAGCTACATCACCAACCTCATCTGCAGATATCATCCAAATCGCCCGCTCTGCTCCTCCAAAGCCTATCCCATCCTCTGGAACTCCCTACTGTAGTATGTCCAGTCAGCCCCCACCCTGTCTGCCTTTAGGCGATCTTTGAAAACTCACTTATTCAGGGAAGCCTACCCCACCTCCACCTAAGAACTGTACTTAAGTCACCTCCATCAGAACATCGCCTACAGCTATCACCTTTTGTATCACCTCCCCCTTCCTTAAGATTGTAAGCTCCACGAGCCGGGCCCTCCAATTCCTTCTGTACTGAAATATATTGTAATTGTTCTGACTCCCTTATATTGTAAAGCACTGTGCAAACTGTTGGCGCAATATAAATCCTGTATTATAATAATAATAATAATAATCACACATCATATAGTTTCCTCCCTTTCTAATTGTATACCATATTATTCATTCTATTTTATTACACAGGACTCTTAAGGTCTTTACTTTCTTGAAATTCACCAATTGTAAGTACTATTATTATTTCCACTTGTTGTTGTATTTTAAATGGCTTATTTCATAAGCGCTTGTTGCTTTAAGGAGCCATCCTGTTAGTTGATGTTTGTTAGTTAGCATTGCATATATATCACCATGACCTCGTTAGGAGTGCGGTGCAAGGTTTTCACCCCTCCTGCTGACTGGCTATAAGTACCTACTCCAAGATGGCCCCTGCTATGGCCTGAAGAGGGAGCAGGCATGCTCCAAACGCTCCCCACCTCCCGCTACCCGGATTACGTTGGCACAACCTACTGGTATACCCGAATCCACAGGAAGCACTGGGAGCCACCAGCACCACCATGCTATTTGACCCTACTCCACTGGACAGGGCTGCAAGATCCAGATCACAGCAGATGCACTGTATTACTAAAGCGCTCTCCCATCATATGTCTTGTGAGTTATCTACCACTCATTTTAATAAATGGTTTTTAACATGCTGCACTTAGAAGGCGCCGCTTCTGTTCCTTTAATCTTCCCACAGAGTTTCTTCTAGCTCTTCCTCAGCTGGCAGCCTCCAAGTAAAGCAGTGTCTACGGATTTATACTTCATCTTCCTTTATGATCGTTCATCCAAGGACACTTTTTTTACAATAATTAACAACTTATTTATATTCCTTGTCCTTGCCTATTACCCACTACTAGGTCTGTTCCATTCCTCTCCCAGAGTGCGCTGAATATTTGGTATTATTACTGTCAAGAAAAATCTGACAGAGGCAGTAGCCCTTCCCTGTTTCATCTAAATTGTGAAAAAAATACATGAAATTAAATCCTTTTTTTTTTTTTTTTTTTAAATAGCACTTGGTTAAGAAAAAAAAAGTTTATGTAACATTTATGCGGAGACTAACATTTTCCTGAAAATGAACAAATGGGCATCCTAAAGAAAGACATTTATTTATGTACTCATTTTCAGTATTATGAAGCCTGATGAATCACATGACCCCATAGATAGATTCCTTTTTTAAAAATTCCGCCTGCTACAAAATGCTAGTTAGAAGGAGTTGGGATACACAGAGGAAAGGGCTGCAAATCTATAGTAGTAGTTTGTTTTTATTGCAATATATGGGACACATAAAATCTTAGAAATAATAATTGCAGTACATTCCAAGGGCCTTTTGATTCTGCCACTTATTTTTCTACAATTACAATCCTTCATTAGTTTGACTCCAACGCAGGGGCGGACTGACCATTTGGAAACTCGGGCACTGCCCGAGGGCCCGGGGTCAGTAGGGGGCCCCATGAGATGCCCCTGGTACCCTTTTCATAGGCTTTTTTGAGTTTGGGCAAGGACACAGGGGTCCCATGATCCCCTATTGCCCGGGGGCCCCATGAGTTGTCAGTCCGCCCCTGCTCCAACGTTTTGATGGTGACCCGAATAGCAAACCTCTAAAACTAGGACCGCTCCCCATTATAAGTCCTCATGCACACTGGACGTATTTACAGCTGATGGTTTTGGCTTTTGACTTTTTTTTTCTACAGCCAGTACTCTCCCCAGCATGTTATCCTATGTGTCCATGCACACAGACTGTAATCAATGTTTTTTGGTAGGGGCGTTTTTTGGCTGGAAAAAAACCCAGAACTAGTGGGTTTCTATAGGAGTTTTTTAGCTGTAGAAACACACTAACACTGAAAACCGCGGCAAAACATGGTAAATTGCAGCAAACCAGCGTTTTTGGACTTTTTGTGAGCAAAAAAAAAAAAAAGGCTAAAAAATGCAAACGTGAAAAAACGCGGCTAAAAGGTAATGCAAAAAACGCTGAAAAACTCATGTTTTTAACGTGACTTTACACAGCTAAAGCTACCAGCATTAGTAAAATGCCCATTGTGCATGGAGCCTTGTGTCAGTATGTTACACCAGTGTAACACAGGCAGGGGCGGACTGACAACTCATGGGGCCCCTGGGCAATAGGGGATCATGGGGCCCCTGTGTCCTTGCTCAAACTCAAAAAAGCCTATGAAAAAGGTACCAGGGGCATCTCATGGGGCCCCCTACTGACCCCGGGCACTCGGGCAGTGCCCGAGTTTCCAAATGGTCAGTTCGCCACTGCATCCAGGCATGTTTTTTGTTAACCGATCCCCTGCTGAGAGCCCTGGTCTGCCTTACTCCATCTTGTGCTGTCCTCTTTCCTAAATTCCCTGGTAAGCCTGTCATCCCAGTATTAATTAACTCACTTCCATATATGTAATCTTCCATTCATTTGCATTCATTACTTTACTAATGAATTAAAATGTACATGCATTCAGATGTCTTCATTTTGTTTCATTAATTCAGCTCATGTCAACTTTTGCATGAGTGCATTCAGGCACTGTGATGTGAGTTGAAGGGATCTTGTATAATGTGTGGGAAATTAGTGCAGTGTGGACACATGGTGAAAAAATCATACTGGTTATTATGAATAATATAAACACTGCTGGGCTTATTTAAAATAGATATTTAGATAACTCTACAACTCTGCATTAAAGTACAACTAAACTAATAAACTGCAAGTAGGCAGTTCTTTATTGCTAAAGAGACATGCAAAGTATCTTCTGCATTAACAACCACTTACCTGCCTACTTGCAGTCTTCTACTGATTGCACACTGAGCAGCACATGCACAGTTTGTGAATGGAAGGACTCCCGTGCACATGTGTAGAGTGACATAATTCCGCTACCAGCCAATCAAGAGGCTGAAAATCCAGCCCTCGTATGTAGCCGGCGAGAAGAAGACCGCATCTGGTGAGGGATTTAAAGTGGTGTTATATCCAAAAAACAAAAATGTGAAGTAATGCAGATTAGCAATCCTTAGATGTGGCTGGCCAGTAGCACACATCCTGTATTAGAATGCAGCATTGTCAGGAGGAGAGTGTTAGATTCACTAGCAGATTTAGATACACTAAGAAATTGAAGCCAAACTCCAGCTCACACTTTATAATCAGTTACAGCAAACACTTTTTTTTTCCTTTTGGAATAAAAGTTTAAAAACAAATAAAAGCTGATCATTGCAAGCACCCCAGCCAGTGTTAAATGGTTTGTCTCATCCCTGTAAACTGATACATCTGGAAGAGAGCTTGTTCTGTTGAAAGACAACAGACGTACTGGCCAGATCACCAGATGAAAATAGAAGAAAGAAAGCCTAAAATAAACAAATTGCAGCTATCACATTTAAATAGTATTAGTTAGCTGCAATATAAAAATTTGGGTTTAATACTGCTTTAACCACTCACCTCTATTGAGGAAGTGAGTATTTCATTCAGTTTAGCTCTGCTTTATTAAATTCCTGACGTTACAAAATACAGAAACAGTATAATTTTTCAAAACAACTCCACCTCTAAAAGGCTAAAGCCTAAAGCTCCGTGCACACGGGGCGTTTTTATAACGCTGATAACGTTAGCTGTGTAAAGTCACATAAAAAATGTGAGTTTTTTAGTGTTTTTGTATTAGCGTTTAGCCACGTTTTTTTCACATTTTGTGTTTTTTATAGTTTCCTTTTGGTCAAAAAAAAGTCCAAAAACGCTGGTTTACCGCGTTTTGCAGCGTTAGAGCGTTTTTACAGCTAAAAAACTCCTATAGAAACCCACTAGTTCTGGGCTGTTTTTTCCAGCCAAAAAATGCCTGTCAAAAAACGTTGATTACAGTCTTTGTGTGCATGGACACATAGGAAAACATGCTGGGGATGGACACATAGGATAACACGCCGGGGATGGACACATAGGATAACACGCCGGGGATGGACACATAGGATAACACGCCGGGGATGGACACATAGGATAACACGCCGGGGATGGACACATAGGATAACACGCCGGGGGTGGACACATAGGATAACACGCCGGGGGTGGACACATAGGATAACACGCCGGGGGTGGACACATAGGATAACACGCCGGGGGTGGACACATAGGATAACACGCCGGGGGTGGACACATAGGATAACACGCCGGGGGGGGTGGACACATAGGATAACACGCCGGGGGTGGACACATAGGATAACACGCCGGGGATTGACACATAGGATAACACACAGGGGATGGACACATAGGATAACACGCCGGGGATGGACACATAGGATAACACGCCGGGGATGGACACACAGGATAACACGCCGGGGATGGACACACAGGATAACACGCCGGGGATGGACACACAGGATAACACGCCGGGGATGGACACACAGGATAACACGCCGGGGATGGACACATAGGATAACATGCAGGGGATGGACACATAGGATAACATGCCGGGGATGGACACATAGGATAACATGCCGGGGATGGACACATAGGATAACATGCTGGGGGGATTACTGGCTGTAGAAAAAAACGTCAAAAGCCAAAAACAGCCGCTGTAAAAATGTCCGGTGTGCATGAGAACTTATTAAAAAGCTCTAGTCCTTTCTGATTTTCTGATATAAAAAAAAAAAAGCTCTAGTCCATTTTCCTGCTACATATCTCTCCTCGGTTCTCTTCTCCCTCGTCCCCTAGATACTCTGTTGACAGTTCCTACTACACTCTTGAAATCCTTGTTTTAATTCAATGGACTGGAAAGTCAATTGCTTCTCTCTTCAGTGGCTAGACTCCGAGAGTATACAAACAGATACTGAAGTTCTATAATGTATTTCAAATGTATTATACTTCAGAGACATTCTAGGAGGCCTGTCACTGGAAGCTCTTTCAAGAATTTATTTCGTTCTCTATCCATTCTAATGTGTTGACTATGCGCACTTTGGCCTCATCCTTGTTCTTTGTTATAAAAAAAAAATTTAAATAAAAAAATGTTTTAAAAAAGCACTGTAGCTCAGTATTACTTTGCCTAGACTGAAATGATGTCACTAATGTGCTGCAGGCAGGAGGAAGCATGCCCTCGGTCACCTCTCTTACAGTGACTATATTGTAACTTAATTGTAAGTTACAAGGTGAGAGGCTACAGCTGGGGCTGATCTGTGTTATACATTTGTGAATACAGCCTAGAATTGTGCAGACACCAGAAATTCCATTGTCATCTCCAAGGCAGCATCGCAGTCCAGGAACTACATTTGAACCTGGATGATACCTGAACAAAGATGGCCCAGTCCTTCAGAAAACAAAAGCAATTGAAGGTGTTGTCAGGGAAAGTACTGTGATCTTTATAGGGGTTTTTTAATACCCTTGTTCAACATCTTGCACCGTTCTGTGAAAATAGCAAAAGCTGGTCATAGATGGAAGGGTTTTTTTTTGTTTGTTTGTTTTTTATGTGCCAACAAGCTGATAAAAACAAAAACAAAATAAATGGTTTCCCCCATTTACACATTAGAAGTAGATGTTGGAATCTTCCCCACTGCGCTATTGTATTCTGGCAGTGGGACTTCTCCACTGCCAGAATACACTGATCAACAATGCAACCGATTGGCTGCAATCGCTGTTCTAGAGAAAATACCAACGGTCCTGATGGGAGGAATCGATCACTAGATCAGCTCCCTGCTGAACCGGCCAAATTTCAATCCATGTGTGGCTGCCTTTATGCACAGTTTCACCAGCTCCCTTTTCCTTGAGGCTTTTATGCCTACCGGTATTTGGATGCTTTCAAGACTTAAGGCACACAGCTATATTTGCAGTATTAAGACACTCCCCAGTAACCCTCAGAGAGAGAGTTTAACCACTTGTCCTCCAGCGGATTTGCCCCCCTCCCCTTTCCTGACCAGGCCATTTTTTTATAGGGCTTTGCGTCACTTTAACTGACAATGGAGCGATCATGCAATGCTTTACCCAATTGAAATTTATTTCCTTTTTCCCACTCATATAGCTTTCTTTTGGTGGTATTTGATCACCTGTGCATTTTTTATTTTTTGCACTATAAACAAAAAAAGACTGACAATTTTGAGATATAAACTACATTTTTGACATTTTGGTATTAATCATGTCCAGTAAAAAATAAATTTGAGCCAAAATATATTGTGCTACATGTCTTTGCTAAAAATAAAATCTCAATACGTGTAAATTAATTGATTTACGTGAAAGTTCTAGCATTTACAAATGGCAGTATGTATACTGGATTTTTTTTTTTTTTTCGTTTCTAGTAATGGTGGCGATCAGTGACTTATAGTGGGGCTGCGGGACTGTGGTGGGCATTCTGACACTGGGGTGGAACTGACTAACTGCCACTGACATCCCCAGTGACACCAATACAGTGGTCAGTGCTAATAAAAAGCACTGACACTGTACTAATGGCACTAGGCAGGAAGGGGTTAACATGTGGAACAATCAAAGGGGTAACTGTGCTGTTTCACTATGTGTGCTGTGTGTGTGCTTTACACTATAAGCACACTGCTTTCTATGGTAGAGCCATACAAAGCAGTGTGCAGGAACTGACAGGGTAGAGATCTGTGTTGTATATACACAGGTCTCTCCCCTGCCGGTAATACTCGGCGATCCCCAGGTGCCGGCGAGCAATCACTGGACGGAACACAGTGATTGACAGCCGAGACCGCAAATGGTGAACTGCAAAATCACGTATATAATTGTGATTTTACACACCCGTGCCGCCCTGTAGCAGTATATCTGCTATAGGGTGACTCGGAAGCAGTTAATGTACTGTGTCAGATGGCTTCATGAAGCAGGAAAGGTGCATGAGTGCAGGAGCCAGGTAGCCAACATTGTCCAGAACCCTGGGCTTGTAATACTCAAATAGACTGCCACTGTGCAGAGGGAGAAGAGTGGACATTTATCCATCATTCTATGGAGGCCATTGACTTTGAACCTCATTTACGCACTTGGATAGCCTCCTTACAGTTGACCTTGTCGAAGGATTTCTGTGCATCTGTAGAAAGTAAAAGAGTGCTCTGCCTTCGACGGGGCCGAGTGGATAACATTAATTGTACAGATTGTGCCATCGTGGGCCTCTCTGGTTGGCATGAAGCCCACTTGATTCAATTGCAACAGGTGTTACAAAAGTGTGTCAGTCATTGTGCCAAGATCTTAGCAAATAATTTCAAATCTATGTTTTCACTGCCTACCATGAGAGGATTATGTTGGGAGAGGAGAAACTGTGTGGGTGGAAAGTGGACAGGTCAGGGGTGAGATGCCCCCCAGCATAGGGGAAGTATATACACAGATGTTACTCCCAGGCTTTTCCAATAGCAGAAGTAGGGACATGGGAAATTGGAGATGCCAGCAATTACACCAGAGAGGTAAGTGTTAGATTATGTATGTATGCAGTGTGTATGCATATGTGTTTGTGTATGTGTAGGCTGGTGTATGTATACAGTATGTGTACTTTTGACTCCTGCACTCTGTACATAGACTTTCAGTCCCTCCCACTGCTAGCACAATTTTGCCACACATTTCCCTCATTCTCAGGATTTGTGTATGCAGTGTAAATTATATGGTACTATATACGTTACCCACCCTGGACCTCTGCACGATGTACATTACCCACCCCAGACCCCTTCACTATGCATGTTACCCACCCTGGAGCACTGAACTATGTACATTACCCACCGGAAACCCCTGTACTATGTATGTTACCCACCTTGGACCTGTGCACTATATATGTTGCTTACTCCTGACCCCTGCACTCATAGATTCTGTACATAGGCTTAAGTTCTAAGCCTATCACACGCACAATTTTGGCACACCCATCATTCACTTTAACCACTTGCCTACCAGGCACTTTTACCCCCTTCCTGCCCAGGCTATTTTTCAGCTTTCCGCACTGTCACACTTTGAATGGCAATTGCGCGGTCATGCAACACTGTACCCAAACCATGCAGAGCTTATTACAAATGTCCATATAAAAGAACATCTGGGTAGCAGTGACCATAACATGATTTAATTTATTGTTTGCTGTAAACAGCAAGCACATACTGGAAAAATAAAAACGCTCAATTTTAAGACAGCTAATTTCCCAAGGCTGAGAGCTGCTCTCCAAGACTTAGACTGGGAGGGAATATTGGCATCAATGAACACAACACAGAAATGGGAGTCCTTCAAACAGACTATGTGAACAACACACTGCAAAATATATTCCTATGGGCAACAAGTTTAAAAGGGTAAAAATCAAAACCTATGTGGTTTACGGCCAAAGTTAAAAAAGCTATAGATAATAAGAAAAGAGCTTTTATTAAATATAAAAATTAAGGCATGCTATCATTGTTTAAACATTACAAAAAATATAACCGAATATGCATAATAGAAATAAAGGCCGCAAAAATTTAAAACAAACAACAGATTGCAAAATATAGCAGGACCAACTCCAAAAAATTCTTCAAATATATTAATAGGAAAAAGGTTCGGTCCGAGCATGTAGGCCCTTTACAAAATAATCTAGAGTGGGTGACTGGGGACAAAGATAAGGCATGTTCATTAAATACCTTCTTCAGCTCTGAGTATGCAAAGGAGCATGAGGGAGCTCTTTTCCATAATGGGCATGGTATTGACACAGCTCCAGATGATCCACATTGACTCACAATTGATATGATCCAAAAATATTTAGACAGAAAAAAGGTGAATTAAGCACCTGGACTGGATGGCATACACCCACGGGTCCATACAGAATTGAGCTCTGTCATTTCAAAGCCATTGTTTCTAATTTTTAGGAACTCTTTAATGACTGGCATAGTACCACTGGATTGGCGTAAGGCCAATGTGGTACCAATATTTCAAAAGGGGTCAAACACTTTACCAAGTAATTATAGACCTGTTAGTGTAACTTCTATAGTTGGGAAGATACTGGAGAGTTTAATAAAAGACCACATAGATGAGTTCTTGTTGGGAAAAAAATATTTTAAGCAACAGACAGCATGGATTCATGAAAGACAGAAGTTCTCAAACAAATCTGATTTCTTTTTCTGAGGAGGGGAGCAAAACCTTGGACAGAGGGGTGGCTGTGGATGTGATATACTTGGACAGAGGGGTGGCAGTGGACATGGTATACTTGGATTTTGCACAAGCGTTTGACACAGTTCCCCACACACGGCTAATGTGTAAGGTAAAGTCTACAGGCTTGAAAAATCAGTATATAAAAGGATAGAAAACTGGCTAAAAGATCGTATTCAGAGAGTAGTGGTTAATGATTCATACTCTGAATGGTCTAGGGTCATCAGTGGTGTACCCCAAGGTTCAGTGTTGGGACCCTTACTTTTTAAAAATATTTAAAAATGATATGGGGTCTGGGATTAAAAATCCCATTTCAGTCTCTGCATATGACACCAAGCTGTGCAGTAGAATAACGTCCTTACAAGATGTCTCCAATTTACAAGCCAACCTCAATGCACTGTTTAATTGGGCAACTATGTGGCAAATGAGGTTTAATGTTGATAAATGTAAGGTTCTGCACTTGGGGGCTTAGAATATGAATGCATCATACATACTAGGGGGAGTACAACTGGGGGTGTCAATGGTGGAAAAGGATCTGGCAGTTCAGGTAGATCACAAGCTTTATAATGGCATGCAACGCCAAGTTGCGGTTTCTAAAGCGAGCAAAATTCTCTCTTGTATTAAAAGAGGAATAGACTCCAGAGAGAGAGATATCATTTTACCCGGTACAAATCATTAGTAATACCTCACCTCATCTGGAATATGCAGTTCAATTTTGGGCACCAATTCACAAAAAGAACATTGGGGAACTGGAGAAGGTACAGAGAAGGGCAACCAAACTGATAAGAGGCATGGAGGAGATCAGCTATGAGGAAAGATTAGAGGAACTGAATGTATAATACATAAGGGGGGATATGATCAGCATGTATAATACATAAGGGGGATATTATCAGCATGTATAATACATAAGGGGGGATATGATCTCCATGTATAATACATAAGGGGGGATATGATCTCCATGTATAATACATAAGGTGGGATATGATCTCCATGTATGATACATAAGGGGGATATGATCACCATGTATAATACATAAGGGGGGATATGATTTCCATGTATAAGACAAAAGGGGGATATGATCTCCATGTATAATACATAAGGGGGGATATGATCTCCATGTATAATACATAAGGGGGATATGATCTCCATGTATAATACATAAGGGGGGATATGATCTCCATGTATAATACATAAGGGAGGATATGATCTCCATGTATAATACATAAGGGAGATATGATCTCTATGTATAATACATAAGGGGGGATATGATCTCCATGTATAATACATAAGGGGGGATATGATCTCCATGTATAATACATAAGGGGGATATGATCTCCATGTATAATACATAAGGGGGGATATGATCTCATGTATACCATGTATGATCTCCATGTATAATACATAAGGGGGGGATATGATCACCATGTATAATACATAAGGGGGATATGATCTCCATGTATAATACATAAGGGGGGAAATATGTATACATAAGGGAGATATGATCTCCATGTATAATACATAAGGGGATATATGATCTCCATGTATAATACATAAGGGGGGATATGATCTCCATGTATAATACATAAGGGGGATATGATCTCCATGTATAAATACATCGGTGGTTCATATAGTGAACTCGGTATAGCGTTATTCACCCTGAGGTCATCACAGAGGACAAGGGGGGACTCTTTACGTCTGGAGGAAAAGGAATTTAATATCCAAACACGGAAAGGTTTCTTCACAGTAAGAGCTGTGATAATGTGGAATAGACTCCCTCAAGAGTTGGTTCTGGCCAGTTCAGTGGATTGCTTTAAAAAAGTCCTGGATTCTTTCTTGGATACACAGAATATAACTGGATACTAACATTTATAGGTAAAGTTAATCCAGGGAATATCTGATTGCCTCTCAGGGGATCAGGAAGGAATTTTTTCCCCTGCAGGAGCAAATTGGATCATGCTTTGCTGGTTTTTTTGCCTTCCTCTGGATCAACTGTGGGTGTAGGATTAAAACTATTTTTTGCTCAACAAACTAAAAAAAGACTGAAAATTTTGAAACAACAAGTGTTTTCTTATTTACAAAATGTTATAACAGAAACAAAGTAATTTTTCTCCTTTACTGATGTGCGCTAATGAGGCTGCAGTGATGGGTACTGATAGGCAGCACTGATGAGGAGGCACTGATGGGCATTGACAGGCATCACTGATGGGCACTGAAAGGTAGCACTCATATATGGCACTAATAGGCGGCACTGATTGGCACTGATAGTTGACACTGAAAGGCAGCTCTGATGGGGAATGATATGTGGCATTGATGTGCACTGATAGACACTGGTATGTGGCATTGATGGGCGCTGATGTGCACGGATAGGCAATGGTATGTGGCATTGATGGGCACTGACAGGTGGCACTGATGGGGCTACACTGATGATCAGTGTAGATGTCCCCTCTGAGCAATGCCGCTTACCGGCTCTCCTCTCCTCAGTGCTGTCAACGTGAGGAGAGGATTGCCTATAACCGGCATTTCCTATTTACAAACGATCAGCTGTGATTGGAGACAGCTGATCACATGATAGAGCTTAC